CCCCCGGCCTGCCCCCGGCGCGCCCCCTGCCCGCCGCCCTGGCCGCCCCGCCAGGACTGACCTCTGGCGCTCGCCGAGGCGCCCGGCTAAGGCATCGTGGCCGCAGTCTCATGCTGCTCCTCACTATTTCATACAACCAACGTCCCCGTCGGCCCCTAGCAGAGGAGTCTCTCTCTCTGGCTGGGCCCTGAGGTGAGGATGCCTCCAGGGCTGAGAGAGAGAGAGAGAGAGAGAGAGAGAGAGAGAGGGGGGGCAGAGGGGTGTTTGTGGGGTGTTTGTGGGGTAGGAACGGGTCGGCCTCAAGGCCGGGCCTAGGTCCTAGTAGCATCCACGTCGCGTTCGGGGCGCACCGCACGGTCCGATGGTCACCCCGCCTGGATCACCGGTCCTCCTTGTCCCCTCAGACCGCGCTCGCTCGGCCCAGGTATGGACACAATGCGCTGCTTGACCTTTGACCCCGCTGGTGCTGCCTCCTCGTGCCCACCGCCGCCGCAGTGGGTCAGGAAGCCACCACGGTCTCCACTGCGCCTTTGGATCTTGATTCGGTCAGGAAGGCGATTACAGAGAATTGGGCCGCCGTCGGCTGCGGCCGCCGGGGTGGCTGGTGGGCCAGGGGGCTGGGGCGAACTCCTGTCTTCCCCGATCATCAATTTTACAGCAGCCAATTCCCCGGCAGGACAAAGCGCCTGCAGCATCGCCCGGTCCGGAGCAAGGTCACCAAAGGTGAGCCTGTGTCGCAGTGCACAGCGAGCGTGCAAGTACAAGGTGTTCGCGAACTATATTGCCTTTCTTATAGTGCGGTTTTAATGATGAAGACGTTGAACGCAAAGGTAGACCAGCACTGCAAAATGCTTGCAAAGAACAGGTTCGTATTGCAAACTATTTTCTTTGCAGCTTGCAAAGAATTTTCAAGCATTGTAATACGAACTTGTTCTTCGCAAGTTTGCAAACTATTTCTTTGCAATGCAAACACATTGTTTGCAAGGATTCCGACAGCTTGCAAAGAACTTCTTTGCGTTACGAACTAATTCTTTGCAATACAACGCTCGTAAAGTCTTTGCAACGTTGCAAAGAATATAGTTTGCAAGCATTTTACAGTGAGCCAATCTGCAGAATTTAACGAAAACGAGGCCCCCAACTTTAAGATAATTTGATGAATTTTCGTCACGTCACATTGAGGTCTATTTGATTGATCACTGCAGACTGGATTTATACCGTAGTACAACAGTGCCAGGAAAAATTCGGTCAACACGACTATAATGATTGAAGCGTCGACTCTGCGTGCTCTTGGTTTGTGTGCAAACATTTCTCTGGGTGAGAGTTGTTGAAAAGCCGACTGCTCGCCTTTTGGCGGGCGGGACTTCAAAGGACGCCGCTGTCGCTGCTCGCCGCGTTCACACGGCGATCCTTCGGAGACGTAATCTTTTTCATGGCTCTTCATGGCTGACCGTCTCCGCGGAGCTGCGGAGCTCAAGGAGGGGAGCGGCAGTGGTCGGGGGAGGGAGGGGGTTCTTTTGATGCGGGGAAGGTAGATTTTACTCCCTCTTCCCTACTAGAGTCAGCCACCTTCTCTGTACCCCCAGCCTCCAGCCTCCAGCACCGGCAGCACCAGCCTTGCTCAGCCGCCAAGTAACCAAAGCAGCAGTGTTGGTGGTGGGAGTCGGATTCCTTTATTTTCCGTTCGCTGTATAAGCCTGGCAGCAGGTTACGAAGGGCACCGGTCAGTATGCGGCGCCGCTCTCTGCCTCGGCGTGTACGGGGAAATC